ATCCCATGTGACCTAGGCTCAGCCATAAAAGCCAAGGGCAGGGAGGAGGAAGGGGGCATTGGTTACTGTGTTTGTCTCCAGGAGCAGCTGCTGCACATACTGAAGCTCTGCTTTCCTGGGAAGTGGCTGGACATTGCTTACTGAGGGGAAGTAGAGAATAACATCTTTGTTTGCCTTTTGTTTCTGTGCGTGGCCTTGGCCTTTGCTTTTGCTTTAATTAAACTGCTTTTATCTTGACCCACAAATTACTCATCTTATTCTCCTCTATTTTGCTGAAGGGGGGAGTGATAGAGGGGCCTGGTGGGCACCTGGCATCCAGCCAAGGTTAACCCACCACAGCCTCTTACAGTATTAGGAAATACCAAATGAAACTAGTATGTAACAGGTTCAAAATAAGTTCTTCACACAATCCATATCACACTGTGGAACTGTGACGCACAATTGTGTCAGTGCTCAAAATCTGCATAGATCCAAAAGGCAATTAAAAAACCCAGAGAAGAAAAAGCTATACGTTAAATACTAAGTAATGCTGGGTCTCAGTAAGTCCTAGGACTGCCTACCAGATAATACTGTGAAAATATGCACATTCAGTTATCACCAGCATTTAATCCCCTTCATGGAATTCGGCATGAACTTAGCCCTAGTAAAACCTCAAATGCTTCCCTGGGAAGGGGGAAGCAGCTTTGAGAAAAAGAAAAGCAAAAGAAAACAATGAACTACCAAAATGAATGAAGTTAAATGAAATGGAGAGCTTTAGGGGTCAGAGGATAAAAAGTATAAAACTGGGTGACCTAAGGGCAGGCAAAGCAGAGCACCTTGGCTGCTAGCCACAGTCAAAGACAATACTGGGCTAGAGAGACATATCAACTGAGCTGGTACAGGCCTTCCTGTGTACCCACATACAGTTAGCCTAAAAAAGAGAGAACATATTTTAGGGTATGACTCAACAAGCCAACATGGCTCTATTAGCACAACACTTGAGCATGTGCTCCACATAACCATAACATAGTTTATTACCATAACATGGAAGTTAATGATGTTAATGTAAAATATACTTTGCATCAGACAGGCACAGAAATTTTATGCAGAACAGAAATATAAAATCTGAACTTGCTGAAGGGCCTCCTGAAAAGGTGAAATAGGCCAATAGACCAGAGTGGCACAAACCCAAGAGGGTATGACAGAACAGAAAGCTAGAAGGTAGGAATCAATGCTACACATAAGGATACGTATGTAGTGCCGTAGTGCCTAAGAGGAAGCTGAGCTCCAGGGAAGGTGTAACAAATAACTATTCTAGTGTTCATTCTAAGGCATAAACAAAGTTATAGTCAAATGATGGCGGAAGATATAGATTTGACACCAAACAAAATAAGTGGGAAGTTGAGCCCTGTGGTATGGGACGAAGGAACAGACAGGGAAATTTGCTAGCAGCAGGTAAGAATGATGGTGAAGGTTAAAGTCCATGCCAGAGTCTGTCAATTACTTTCTCAAGAAACTAGTTAAATGTTAAAACATGGAAGAAGAAGAAGAAGGCTGGGTAGGCTGTGGGAGCTGCAAAATCATGGCAGGTACTGGAAGCAGCTAGCTAGAAAAATCAAAACTGTTGGAGACTAGTGCCTTTCACAACAAAACGGACAACCATCAAAAACTTTTGAAATTTCTTCTTCTCAGGGAGAACTTTTAACCATTCTACCATCTACTATAGATTTTGTAAACACTCAAGATATTCAAGAGTTGATTAAATTGTTCATTTAAACAAAAAAAAGTACAAAAAAAGCTAAAGTTTCCATTTTGAAATCTCATTGACTGGAATTTTTTAAAAAGTTTACAATGTTGAACTGGAACAAAACTATTTTTCTGTTGGATTTTCAAGAATGAATTAACAATTAAGTTAAATTTTGCATTTTTTTCAAATAGCCAAGAAACAAAAAAAATCTTTAGCTTGCTACATTTGCATATGTCAAAGATGTTCTTGCAAAAATATAATTCAAACCACCAAGATCACCTTTTCCCAAAATGCACACTACCATGAAATTGGAAGCATGCCTGAAAAGTCAGAAAATTAAGCCTTCTTTTGGAATAAAAATGATGAAGAGGCCATCACAGAAATGCCTTGGGAAATCTCCCTACCATACTGAGAGTATTTCAGCTTAAGGACTTCTTCAGAACACTGTACAGCTGTGACCAGCAGGGAAGCAGATGGAGAACTAAGGAGACAAAAACTGTGCAGCAAGTAATGTGTGTAGCCCCCATCCTTGCTTGCTAGCAACATCCCAAAGCACTTTTCTTCCCACACTAGTAGATAAATAAAATGGGTATTATTTAGAAGGGATAACCATATGGTTTGTATAATCTTTATGTGCTATTTTCAGTACATTTTTATAATACATGGTAGAGACCTACAAAACAGGATTAAAATTTGCTTTCCATTTTACAACCAACCTGTGTCTATTTGGATACAGAGGTGAGGCCACTATAACAGAGTCTGTTACTTCCACGTGCTGTCCCTCAGTACTTGTGGGGCATATTACTGAGTTCCCAAGCTCAAATAAATATTTATCAGCCTTGCTGATAATTATTTGCTAGTAAATATTTGTTTAAATTGGGAAGTCTTGACTTTTTTTATATTCCATTTCAGCCTACATGCATCTGTCTGCTTTGTGCCTTCCTAGTGTGGAATGCTGTAGCATGTAGCAAAAGAGACAGGAAAATGCAAAAATATAAACTACAGGAAAGAAAATCAACCTAAAAACTGAAATCCATTACCCTTAAACTGTGTCCCCTCTCTCTTCAGCTCCTTCATTTCCTCACCCTTTTTTTGATAATGAAGCATCAGAATCAAGAATGCATTTTTCTAAATTAAGGTATCCACGCTGCTGCAGGAACAATACCGATCAGGGTTTTTGTCTGGGTACAGTGTATGATTTCCAATTTTCACTGTCATTTTTTTTTAGCATATACAAAACATTGCAGAAGCACATGTAAATCACCACTCTCTTGCCCAGTGGAACAGAATTTCAGTCACCAATGCCAACAGTTGCCTACAGAAGGCATCTACATCTGGTCTGCTACATCCAAGACAGCAACCACAGGCACACGTTTTGCTTTGTTTGGAATTCATCACTGTGGTGCAGCTGAGCCACAGATAAAAAAACTATGAGCCTCCGGGGTTAAACAGACAAATGTTTTCAGTCACAACAACTTTTTTTTTGAGAGGAAGCAAAGCCATAACAATGTATGTAAGAGGTTTTATGTAAATCATTAAAGGCCTAGTGACTTAAAATTGTTGCTAACACCACAAAGTTGCTTAATGTACACTTGAGAGTGTGAAGGCAGAACAGATGAATAGTCTCACAAATCTTATTTGCTCAGTTGGAAAAATGCAAAAATATTTGTAAAAAAAAAAAAAAGCTGATTCCTGCTCATTGCCATTCAAATTTAAAAGTCAAATTAATATTCATAATTTCTGAGTGCATGATGGTTTTTACTGGGAGGCAGAAGGGGCAGATACAACCAGTAAACAAATTTACTTTCAAATCCACACAGAATTCAATACCTACCTAGCCACTCGTTGAATTTTTTTACTTCACTAGGAAGTCCCAGCTCAGTAAAATCACCAGCATGTATTAACACATCTCCATATGGCATTTGGATGGGATCAGTTCTTGAGTGAGTATCAGAAATGCAGACAAATCGTGTATATCCTGGAGGTTTGGGAGCATCATGGGGCACCGGATCAACCCTGTAGGAAATGCATCATAACAAGGTTATAAACTACTTACATACTTCTTAGTGTCTACTTTGCAATTCTAATATTATTTTTTGCCTTTACAAAAGATTACACAGACTTCTAGATCTGTCTGATGGAAGGGATTTATTAAAACAAACCTAACACTAATGGGAGGTGTAAAAATTCTTGATGTTCATATCACAACATTCTCAGTATTTGTTGGGTAGATGGATTAATTTAAAGAGATTAAGGAAAAGAGATTGAACTATGGCAGTAACTCTGAAACAAATACTTACAAATAAATCCAAGGCATTGCCAGTTTCAAAGGAACGGTACTATCCCATTTCATTGTTTAAATATGATTACACAGTACACAGGGAAAAGATATGTTTTAGATACATAAATACATTTAAATGTATTTTTTCTAATTATAACTTTTTTCTGAAAGTTATATAATTCCAGCAAATTTAATTAACACATTTTGGAGATATGTTTCAGTGTCTTAATGCAAAGCAAGATAAGAACTCTCCTGACAACAGCTGTAAATGTACATTCAAGCCTCACTATTGTCAGGACAAATGTGGCAACTTTCTAGGCTTAATTATACTAAATGAAATCAGATGCTGTGAGGGGTGAGGCTGCATTGTTCAGAGCCCAATCTTGATATTCAAAACTGAGGAAACAAAGAGATCTGACCCAGTTTGATGAGACTTAACATCTGATTTAGAAGAGGAAAGCAGAGAACACCTCTCTGCTGTATGAGGAATGCTTATTTTCAACTCAATCTTTCTACCCTCAATCCATATTTTGTTAGAATATATAGAAGCAAATGTATCTGTATGCATCTATACCATATCTGCTATTCCAGTTAGGGAATTCTGGTGGAATAATATAAAAAAGCCAGAGATGCAAGAGTTATATTTATGTCACTAGAAATCAGAGAGATATACAGAATTGTTATGAATTATTTTACTTCTACAACACTTATTTTGAAAGAACAAACAAAATTAGTTTTGTTCACTGTTGCAGTATGTAATACATATTCCTATCCCTTGCTGGTTATGCTTCAATTCAGGAGTTTACTTTTATATAAATGCAGTCAGAAAAAAGTTAAGAGATCTTTGTTATTAATAACACCACCCCTGTTTACAGGGTAAATTTTCAGAAGGCATTTTATTACTTGAAAGATATATGATAATAATCTTTAATCACACAATCTTTTCTCTAAGTCAAAGAAGAATTCTATGAAATGTATAAGTGCATAAACTGAGGTGTTTTTGACAATTTCACAAGATTACCGAGAATGAGGAATAAATCTAAAACATTCAAATCTTGTTAAATACAGAAAAAGTCCAGAGCATTTTCTGCAATATAACTACAAAACTAGAGTATGAATAAATTATTTTGTACCCGCCTTTCCTATACCTTTTTAGGAACAAGAAATGTTGGGTTTTTTACAGCAGTACTGTAGTCCTTTAGTAGAGTACCTTGTAGTCATCTTTCTGAAGTTCCAGTTTTTGAGCAGAAAGTAATCAAACGTGAGGTAGGGCATAAAACCAGCTGTGATCAAAACACACCCAATGAATAATACCCAGCATTCTGTACATGCTAGTGGGATATGTAAGAAGCACATACTGGAAATTGTAAAACTTGGCTGACAAAGCATGGAATGTTTGGGCCCTGAGAGAGAGCAGCTGCAAACACTGAGTGTGGGGCTGAGGGAGTGTGTATGCTGCAGGGGGACACAGTCATACGTAGAAAGGCAAATGAAGAAAAGAGAGTTAGATGTAGGGGGAGTCAGACATGGGAGGTCACAACCTCAAACAGTGCAGCTGCACGACTGCTGTCACCTTTAGAAATGCCACTGTCTTGGAGGGAAGAGAGCTGCCACAGAGTGAGCTCCATGGATGGTGAGTGGAGGTAGCAGGGGTGCAAAGGAACACGGATAGCGAATGGTGGGTTTTAGACTAGTGAGTGAGACTTGTCATGAAGTGCAAGCTGTGTGAAGGTTAATGAATACAGTTCATGGAGTTCCTCCTCAAAATGAACTGAGATGGTGGGATAAAAATGAGAGGGAGCTGACCCTTGCTATCGTTGCTGCTGTTTAAGCTAAAAAGATTAAACGTCAGTTCAGTAAACAAATGTCTGATTATTGCTCTCCCTGCCCAGCACTTCCCAAAGTTAGTTACAGGTTGCATTAGCAAGCCAGGTTTAAATTATGCATACTACCCTAGCACAACATGAGGATATGGGCTGGTCCGCTTTTCGACTTTTCACGGTAGTGTAGCCTTTAAAGCAGGTGCTTCTCCTTCAGAAATTTTTTAAAGCTCAGCACAGCAGTAAGTTGGGTGTTAGGGAGTAGCATGCCCTTAACATGTTGCTCCTCTGAAACTAAATTTAAAAAACAACAGACTTACCACAGCAACCCATGAAGGACGTAATACACATGCTTTTTCTTATAGTTTGGATGGGGATAGGAAAGATGTGGACAGGATTTTCCTGGATGCTGAGGTATGAACAACTTTTAAATCCTGTGCAATGGGCCAGAGAATTTTCATGGGAAAAAGGCATCAATACAAAAAAAACCAAATAAATGAGATGCAGATTTTCACATTGAAGTGATATGCACACACTGAGGCCATATATAGGTAAAAACATATGTCAAGTTTCACAAAAGCATCTAAATTGTATTTCTGGAAATAATCTCTGAAGGCTCGATCCCCATATTCTTGTGTAACGCATTCCCACAGCAGCTGTCACACCAACACCCAATGTACTGCTTGCAGCATGAGCAGAGGAATAAAGATCTGCTGATTATTTTTGTGCAAATGCTTTTGTTTTTCTTTAAACCAGTATGAAAACTTGCAGAGGAATTGCAAAACAAAGTTTAAAAAATCTCAGAGCAAAAACACTGCCAAAGGTTAGTTTATACACTAGATTTCAGTGGTTTCACAAAGGAGCAAGACAGGAACCTTCCAGAAATGACTGACGGGCTTGAAAACACTGGCAGAATTTACCACCCTTCTTGTCAGTGGCAACCCAGTCGTCTCACAAGTACAGGGATGTCAGATTAAGATGGAGCTAGGAAAGGGCTGTCAGCAAGTTATGGGTGCTAAAAAGTGAAACAAGAAATATAAAGCTGCACAAAGGGCTAAGGAAGAGCTGCAAGATTGAATTCAGAAGAAAAGGAGCACAAAAAAATACTCTGTGGTTAAAGTAGTTTACTAGGAGGTTGGATGTTAACAGGTCTCGTGAAATCTGTTTATGATTGCCTGCAACATCACTATCTAGGCATTTTGAACTATACAGAAAGACAAGGCAAAGCCCTCACCTCCCTCAAGTTAACAAAACTTGTATAGACTAAAGCAGGGCTAAAAATTCACCCATAACAATCATGCGAATAAAAAGTGCTTTTGTTATGCTTTTTATGTCTACTTTTCCCTTCTTTGTTAATACCCTATTCATTGGTAGGAGGCAAAAGCAATCCTGCTGGTATTCAGAAACATTATTTACCATTTCTGTACCAAGAGAAAGAGTAGGTCAGATTGTGGTAAATGTTTCAATTGCTTTAGCCTGTTTTTCAATTTGCACTGGCTTCTTCAATAGTATTAATCATTCATGAGAGATTGCTAAACTCTTCTGAGGAACCATTTTCTAAGGATAGCTGATTTTCAACTACTGGCTTAGGTGCTGAACTTCTATCATGCAGTTGATTGTCTAAGCCCTCTGGTAATATGATTTGTTACTGGTTAGAAGTTTAAACGGCATGTTGTTGAGTACCGAGTGGGTACTAATAAATAACTTATTTTCAGCCCAGTAAAACACATTCAGCTTTTAAGACTAGTGAACAGATTCATGAGTGCCCAGGAACTGTCTGAATATTCACAAAGAATAGCTAAGCCTCAACAAATAAAGCAACCTGCATTTGGCATTTTCATTTGTAAAAGTATTTCTGAACCCACGCTTGTTTGTTTGTACTTTTGCTACCATTTGCCAGCTCTATAAACAAAAGATGTTTCCCAGAGCTAACACTCAACTCATTTTACTGCTTGCATTTCAATAGTACCTAAAAACCCCCAACACAGACCATAAGCTAATAAACTGCCCCCAAAGCCTGTGTGTTTGCTCACCACTCTGGTATATCTGTTAGTCTTCAGATTTTTTTAATATAATACCTAACTAATGCCAAAGAATGTATGTAAGCATTCACTAAACACACACATAGCATTCAAACAGTCATAACTGATGAGTTTTTTAACTGCAGAAATCATGGCCTATGTATGCAAATTATCATACCATATTAAACACCAAAAATATGAATGACACAATTATTTATTCAGTCTTTCAGTCTTCCTAAAGGAAAAAGAGTTTCCTTTAAAAACCATGAAAACCAGCCTCCTGATCTAAAGATAAGGCTGCTTCTCTCTTCAATAAACACAATAAAATGGTGCAGACATTTTTATTCTCTATAAAAATATTTTACAGTAGAACTTTATACTTAATTTATTTGTAATAGCTTTACTGTTTTGCTCTTCCTTCTGGCTTTAAACTTTATGGCAGGTTTCATTTTGTAATTATAATTCTCCACTTTACATTACAACTAAATCATTCAGAGCAGTTAATTTTACTGATGTTGTCATTATATAAGAAGTCTGAAACAAACACATTAATTACTCTTTAAGCACTTGGCATCTTCGGCACATTGGTATGAAAGTAAACTGTCGGATGGGCGCCCGCACTATTTTATTTATTGATGTGATTTTTCCCTTGTATGTAGCTGTAATATAACTAACCAAACAGTATGTGTTGTACAGATACAGGCTTGGAATTTTCAACAGCTATTTACATCAATAAGCAAGTCCACAAAGCAAACAAACATTATTAAGATTGCAGAAAGTACCATCCTTGTAGCATCTCATTTTATTACCACTGCTTGTTTATTTCTCTTTTTAATACCCATTATGTATTAAAGTTATGCTATTAGAGTAATATTTCTCCCATCCTTTAACAAAGTACTTATACTTTCCAAATGGACTGATTACTCTATAGTAATTGTTATTAGAAAGGCAGCAAACAGTGTTCTTTGAATTCTTTTTGACTGGTCCATCAAATACCACATTGACAAGGCAGTAACAATTCAGAAGGCTGTGCTAGAGCAATAACAAAACTATAATACTTACATTTGCACATGTGGGGGCTGGAAACGTCCCTGGTTAATGTTGTAGAACGTGAAAGCCTGTGTGGGGTTGGAGCTGTATTCATCCACTTCAATTATGAGTCTACTGTGCTGATGCCTTCTAGCTGCCATAATGTGTGACTGGGAGAAAGCCATGCTTGCACTACGTAGTTTGGCTTTTTCAGGCGATCATAGCTGCTATCTTCCTACATCGATGGAAGAAGACCATGACATCTCCTTACCTAAACAGCACACTCCCCTTCAAAAAACCTAAAAGCAAATTGAAGAGATGGAGCATAACTGACAGTTACCTGTTTGGAATTTGCTTTATTTAATACAAGATGAAGATGAAGATGGAGATGAAGATGGAGATGGAGATGAAGATGGAGATGAAGATGGAGGGACGAAGACACACAGCTCAAAGAACACATCACAAGCCTTTCCAACTCAGCAATTTGATGAACGTTCTTTAGTTGGAGGTGGGAAGCAAGGAGTGGAAGTAAAGTTGCTAAAGAACACAGGGGCAACTTGCTCAAATGTTTCAGACATTTAATACAAATCTAAAAGACAAGGCGGTCATTCTTCAGAATAGCACATCAAATAATGATGTTTCTTTAACACAATCATTTACTTTCCTTTTTTATTGCATTGCTGAATGCTTATTACCCATCCTCACTCAAAAAAACCCCACCAAACCTGAAATGGAATACACACCTGTGCACTAAAATGTGCACAAAAAATGTGACTAAAATGCAAGTTAATTAAACAAGAATCAGCCTAACTAATTATTCAGAAAGTCTGTGCCATTGATTACGGGGAAGCATTGCAACTGGCTGTTCTTTACACCCTAAGGAACAGAGTAAATGACCTTCTGTGCACACGCTCCTGGTTGTATAGTACCATTGAAGGCACTCCTGACACAAGACTGAAGGACTACCCCCTTCAGCATATTCTCTTCTCAGACAGTACTAACCCCACATTCTGGCTTCACTGGAAAAGAAAGTGATTCAAAGGCTAACACACAGTTAAATGTTACTAAATATTAAAGTAAAATCCATATAGATTTCATGTTTGGGAATAGATTTTTCCCTGAAGGTTATGCAAGTCTAGAACAGCAGCACTGAAATGGGTAGAACAGCCAAGTGAAACCAACTGGAATGCAAAGAGTATCCCCCAGAAACAGCAGAAAGTAATTTAAATGTGAATTTTACTTTTATTTCCCAGTTTTAATAAAAAATGGATTATAAGATATAAAGGTGGGTACTCTTACAGTATAAATTCACATCCTTTTTAAAAGTTGTCGGTCTTAAATATTTATTTTAATGAAAGTGAGGGCTCTTTTCTTCTAGGGAATAAAAGTAATCTGCTTCAGAAGATGTATTTAATGAAAAGCCATGCTAGAATGCAGCGATACACTTAATACGTGCAGTTTCTGGAAAGCAGGACTACAAGTACTTTATGTGACCTTGCTGATGTGCCTTACTTCCATTCTGAAGGGACCACTGCCAATAGTGATGGATAAGGAAGGTACTCAAATTTTTAAAGCTATTTACAGGGACTTAGGTCCAATTCAGTTCTTGTGGCAGTCAAGCACCTAAGCATCTTTAAAAATCTGGGCTGCAGTCCTTTGCTTAACTACTACAGATGTTAAGTGCTCCAAGAAGTGGCAGTGTATTTTTGTTCTGGGAAATCTTGTCCTTAGGAAACTGAAATGAGAGATTCAGCTCAGTTTTGTTACTTGCTGAATGGCTGTAAAAATGATGACAACTTGCTGTCACTAACAACCCGCAGGAAAACAGTCTGAGAATAAAAGAGCAGATTCCTTCATGCCTTCCCCTAGAACTGAGTGGTAAGGAAACGGCAGGATAACAACAAAGAAAGTTTTGGATTTTAAACACTCTCAGATGCTGCATTCAGGCTATGGAACAAGCAGCAGCACAAAGGAAAGTGCCAGAGCAAGGAGAGGGAAGGGAGGCACTATCCTTGTAAGAATAATCAAGTACAAATTGCTGCGTTTAGGAAATAAGAAATTATGATGGCAGATGTGAAGAACCCTCCCTGAGGAGCTTCCTGTATTAAATGATGCATTTGTAAAGAAGTTTGAATAGGCAAGGTCAGAGATTTTATAGGGGGCAAACTGTTCTAAGTGAACCTACTTCTGTCTGAAAGAAACTATTACAACTGGTGATCTCTAGAAATATTCTGTAGTAAGATTAATAATTTAGGATTGCACAGCTCTACATAAGGATTTCAAACTACCTGAAAAACACAGCCTTTGTTTTATAATTCAGGGATTATGCCCACTTTACACACAACTGAACTGCAGTTATAAAGGAGTTAAGGCACTGTCTTAGGGACCTAGAATCTCCCTTTGGCCTTACTAAATTCTCAGGAGCTCACAGCAGCTGAGAAAATGGCTTCTGTCAGCCTCCTCTTTGTGTCCTGTCTTTTATGACTTCTCTCAGGTTCTACATCAAATGTGCTTCAGAAACAGCAGATGTATGCAGGTACCCCACTATCCACTCTTAAGCTCGGCTTCCTTTCTGGGTAAGTGGAAAAGAGCACTTACCAGCACAAACTAACCCAAAAGACCAAATTTGTTTGCAAACAGAAACAAACCACAGCCAGCACACCGCTGATATACCCTTTAGTGCTGAAGAGTTCTTTCAAGCAGTGAATCAATCCTTGCACATGGGAGAGTGTGTGAATCACACCATTAGGCCAGCTTGAGAGGATGCTAGCCACAGACATTCAGCAAGTTCACCATATAAACATGTAGAAAACAGGAAGACAACATATTTTGCTTCAGGTAAGGAAAAAAACACAAAAGGGATGCCACACCACTGCTAAGCCTTCTGCCAAATGACAGTCACGCAACATCAACGCTGGACATGTAAAAAGCATCCAAGACTGCAGAAGAAAAGAAAGAGCCAGATTCTGCAACAAAAATAAAATAAATAGAAAACATGAATAGCCTGTGCTAAACAAAATCAGATATGTAACACACATAATCAGTAAGCATAATTCAATAGCAAGCTTAACTCGAGCTCATTTCAGAAACATACACAGATGTCTTTGAACCTTACCTTTCAGTCTAGGGTTTTCTTTCTGCATAAGTGGTTGGCTGACTTACTAACATTCTTGGTGTTCGACAGAACAAGCTGTCTCTTTCCAGCTTGACTGATAACCAGACTGACACCCATTACTCCCCTCTTTCTGTTTCCATTTCCAATAGTTCCCCAAATCGTAATTTTTTCTTTCTTTTAATATTCTGAAATTTCTTCCTTTCCCAAACTAGAGTATAAAATGCAGCAGGAAAATAATTATCTGCTTCTATAGCATCCAAGTTTTAAAATTATATGCCTAGCATTACCAACACAGAGCATTAAGACTCAAATCCCCACAGCAACAACATGCTAACCATCCTCTTCCCCCAGACTTATGGAGCTGCGGGATGTCTGCCAGGGAAAAACAGAGAAATGTAAAAAGGACTGCAAGAACATGAATACTAAAATAAATATCACAAACCTGGCTGTTAGAATCACAGACTGAGAAAAAGCTATTAAATCAGCTAAGCCATCTTCTTACTGATGGCAGGAATGTTCTCCATACATTATTTTTCTGCTGCTTTCTCTAGCATGTGTTCAAATGTTCACAGAGCCCTGATCCAAAGCCCACCATGTACAACGGACACCGCTCCACCATCTTCAGAAGGCTTTGCATCAGGCCATAAACTACACAGACTGCAACACCTCTCCTGAGGAATTACTGGACTAGGCAGGTGCTTGAACACAGATGTCTATTTAAGTCCTTTGATGAGGTCCTCAAATAAATCTTTGTATTAAGATTCTTTTACTTTTTCAGACTGAAATTTTCTGGTATTTTAATCTCACAGCTTTCTTGTATAGCTAGCATAATTACTTCCCTCTCTTCCACAAATTTTCCAGCCTTTTAATGCATCCTATTTCTCTTTTTTCCCATTTCAAGCCAAGATTTTATTTTAATACCACTTCTTCAGTCACAGATTCTGCTTTATTCTATGATCATCCTTCAGTTCACTCTCATGTCCACTGTCCCTAGCCATATCTCATTCTATCATCCCCACTGTTCCCTCCGTTATCTACCCTTTGTCTCAAGCCTAAAAACAACACTGAGACTTCTTGAAAATTATTCCAGCAACACAAAATATGAATCTTGACTTGAAAACAACATGGCTCAAACAGATGTCACTGAAATGAAAGATAAAATAATGATGATGATGATAATGATGATGATAAAAAAGAAGTTATAAATTAAGAAAGAAAACTGCGAAGGAGTTATCTGCTGAGCAATGAACTTTGCTACATTACAAAAAATCTGGAAGTCAAGAAGCACAACATGGCTATAGCACTCCCTGGCAAGAGTTGAAGACGAGCAGTGCCAGATTGTGCACTAATAACAGTGAGATAACCTAAAGAAAGGACGCTGGGACTCTCAGCAGTTCCAAGATCAGCGGAAAAGAGGTAGCTGCAGAAAACATGCTAGCTTCGTTCAGAGAGTCTGACAAGCCGGGATTTGGGGAGGCAATGAAGAAACAAAACATAGTATCAAAAAAAAAGAAAAGGTGTCTTCATGCAGCTATAAAACATCAAAGCCATATTTTTTTCAGGGAAAGCCAGTAAGACAACAGCAGTAAAACACCTTAAAGAAGCACGTGAGGGTTTGTGATAGATCGCATAGAGACACACTTGCTTCTTGTGCAAATCTTGGATACTGTTAACCAGAAACCCTTTGAAGAGCTTCATCAAGTGTTCAGGTCTTCCCGTATACTGCACAACAGTGCTCTTCATAAACTGTCAGGTCACCCTTTACATGAAGAAGTAGACTCTTTGTTTAAAACCAAAAAAAAAAGCACTACAGAGTATTCTGCAGCACTGGTCCCAATTCTTCTAGTAACATTCCAATAACCACTAGTGTTTGGCTTCGTTATCACAAATAACTATTTTTGTTTTAACCACTCCCCCAAAAGTTTGTTACAGACTGATCAGGAATAAGCGAACGTACTGGAACCAGTAAAGCAATCACTTACTATGAGAAATAGGCTGAAAACACTAAAAGGCTTTTTGCTGTCTAAAATACCCGTTTGAGATACTCCAAATAGAAGCCAATCAATGGACTTAGTCTGCTATCATCAGTTCTGCAATCGGGAAATGAATACTGAAATAATTCTAAAAAGGCATTATTCTGTGGGAAAGGATGAGACAGGCAAATCACT